AAAGAACATTTGAAAGTGGTAATTCCATTCCTTCATCCAATCGCCTGGTCCCTACAATCTCCTACTGGATAGTTGTTCGGATATCCACTTTGGAACGACAGAAGTTCCTGGCACGCCCGACATCCACTCTTACTTTCCACTCACCTGGAAAGTGAAACTAGCACTTCTCCGCGAGCCGAATAGGGAGCATATCCCTGGCTTTCATGGTTGAATCATATCAATGGTTTGAATGGTAAAGTGGAGAAAGTTGCTAAAGAGCTCGATAAGTTTTTGGAGGGAGTGGTAGAAGAGCATATGGATCTTCGAAAAAGAGACACCGATGGTTGTAGGAGTGATGAACATGATGAAGGGCAAAAGGATTTTGTAGATGTGCTACTTGAAATTCAAAGGGACAGTAGTACTACTGCCTTTCCTCTTCACAGAGATAGCATTAAAGCTCTTATCTTGGTAAGTCTGACTTTATCTCTCTCACTAAAATTCATAGACACTTGCCAAATTGATCTAGGCATGAATTAGTTATAATGCCCATTGATTGTCTCTTTGATTTTTTTTTTTTTAATTTTTAATATTTTTTTTATAGAGTAATGACACAAAGTCCTAGAGTCCGACACATTTAATGAGTGAGAGATATGATGATATCATCATATTAAATATGATGTCATGATGATGTCATCCTCCACTAGTATAATACAGTCTACTTATCAATATTCTTTTGCATGATTTGCTAATAAACTCAACTTTGAACGCATAATGCTTCCCTAACACAATATTCTATGCCGATTGAAGGCCACTTCCTCTATTGCACACATTATTTATTAAGAAGGAATTATTATATAGTGACAATTAATATATAACTTTGCATACGATATTCTGCAAACGTAACATTTTCCACCAATAGTAATCGACGGAATTAGGAATTTATCACAGCCGTGTGATTTCGTTTTGTATGACCGACATTGACAATTTGTTGATTACAATATTTTGTTTCTTGTAGAATATGTTTACTGGTGGAACCGATACTACATACACAGCAATAGAATGGGAAATGACAGAGCTATTAAGACATCCAAAAGTCATGAAGAAACTGCAGAATGAGGTTCGAGGTATAACCAAAGGCAAAGATGACATAACCGAGGATGATTTAGAGAAAATGCATTACTTGAAGGTGGTGATCAAGGAGTCTCTGCGGTTATATACTCCAGCACCATTGTTAGTTCCTCGAGAAGCCATTCAAGATGTCAATGTAATGGGCTACGACATTGCAGCCGGCACACAAGTATTTATCAATGCTTGGGCAATTGTGTGGGATCCATTATTGTGGGAAGATGCTGAATTGTTCCGGCCAGATAGGTTCTTGAACATATCTATAGATTACAAAGGGAAAGACTTTCAATTTATTCCATTAGGAGCTGGTAGGAGAGGTTGTCCCGGAATCCATTTCGCGGAGCCTATTAATGAACTTGCATTAGCTAAGCTTGTTCATAAGTATGATCTTGCATTGCCTAGTGGAGCGACAGACCAGGATATGGACTTAACTAAAGCCCCTGGTGCATTTACCCTAAGCAGAAAGTACCCTTTACTCGTTGTTGCAACTCCATATTCTTATTAGGGCTAGTTTGGTGTGGTGAAATGAAATAAATTAAAGAAAGTGGAATGGAATGGTTTTTTCCATTCTTGTGTTTGGTGCCAATTTTAAAGTTAAAATCATCATTCTCTACTATTCTTGGAGAATGGTTATTCTATTAAAATCATTCTACATTCCAACAAAAGGAATGACCATTTCATTCCCATCTCCATTCTCATTCTATTCCAATTCATTCCACCACACCAAACAAGCCCTTAGTGTACTTACTGCATGACTGATGAAACTACCCATTCTTCTGTTCCTGATCTTGGCCATATTTAAGTCCACTGCAGTTTCCAATACGGCCGTACCCATAATCTGATAGCCAACCAAGAAAAAATCATATCTGTGTATATCTATGCGTGTGTCAATTTAATAAAATATCATTTCGAAGACAACTTAGCATTTGTTGAGATATGGAGTGCAAATTCTTAGAGCAACAATAAATATATGTGAGCAAGCAACACAAAAAAGGCCATTGTCAACTTTAATTTTATGTTGATCATTTTGTAGCCCATGCAACTCTCTTGTAAATTAAACTTCTCTTTTCCATACGCTATCAAACAAACCCAAGGCTTATCTCCTCAAGTTCAAGCAACTTATCTTTATTGTTTTTCTTAATTTGCCTAAGCTTTGTATTACTTGTACTCATTCTTTACATTATTGTGCATTAGACCATGTCTTTACTTTCTCACTGGCGCTTAGCTTTACACTACTTGTACCTTAGCTAGTTAGCTTCAAGTAGTCATACTATTACTTTCATGACTTTCACTTGGTGTAACTTCTTTTCCCTTCTACACTTGTAATTCCTTCAAATCCAAGTATAATGCCGAATCATACCTTCGAAATATTTATAGAGTCCTAATTTTTTGCTCGAAGTTAAACAAGAGAATTCATTTAATATATTTTCTTCTAATTCATGGTTTGTTGCAATCATTCCATTTGTTAACAATGTTGGTTGATGAATTAGTAAACTAATTTTTTTTTCCTAGTTGGTACTCACACACACATGTCTCCACTGAGACTCGAGCTCCTCACCTCTCTTTGAGAAGTAGGGGTTTGATACCGCTAGGCCACTGACTTGTTCATAATTAATTAACTAAAACTTAAAGTAATATATATATATATATATATATATATATATATCATTTTTTAAATTTATAATTACAAAATTTTACTTCTATGTATGAATGAAAGATTCAATAGTTTTGAACTTAAATGATTTTTTTTTTTAAATAATAATTTTATTAGTTTTAATTAAAATTTATAGAACTTATTTGTCTTTTATAAAGAAAAGTAAGAGTTGAAAGAAATTGTTCGTTACAAATATTGGAGGCTATTTTAACTCAGACGATGATAACTGAGGCAGTGGTGACAAGAAAACCCATTTTTTCTTCATATCCAGATTCTCTACAAGGTCAGAGTGGAAGATACTTTGCTTTCCTTTCAAGCCTGAAAGTGGTGGGCCTATAGTGCTGTGAATTCCATTGTCAAGCCCACACCGTCGATGATTGAGGTATCCACTCGGATTGTGCAAAGAATTAGTAGAATTGAAAAAACCAATCGGAATCGAATTGAATCAATACTTGGTTACAATTCTTGAGCAATTTAGTTTTGGTCCAAATTGTATAACCGCTAAGTTTCCGTTCGATTCAGGCCAAATTCTTTGTAACCGATTATATATTATATATAATATATATTATTTTTTAATTATAGAATTCCAATACATAATGCTCCATATACTATAAATTCTAGATGGGAATTGAGGGAGGGACATGCATCGAAAATAGTGTTAATTTTAAGTGCTTGCAAAAAAGAACTCATTCATCATTTTTAGTTTAAGAGTAGTGATATAGGGACCAATTCGGTAATTACTGAATTCAAATTATGTGAGAAGGTAATGGATCCCATCACATAAATATCATATAGTGGGGCCAACCATCACACCCGCATTAATGAAATTCAGTAACTATTGAATTCGATCCTTAAATCATTATTCTTACTTTAATTTAGTTGTTAGAACATTTATTAATATCAACCGAAGCTTTTGACCTGTATGTATGGTGGAAACTTGGAATAGGAAGAAGAAAATGACCATTTGAGCATTTTCCAGAAATTGTTTTTATAGTACCAAACAAATTTTCTCGGATTGCTTACATCACTAGAGATCTTTTTAGTATGACTTTTGAATGTTGATAATCGATTCCAACAGTTCTAGTTTCGGTTTTTTAGGAACCGTTGGGAACGGTTCGGTTCGGTTCTAGTTCTACTAGAATTTATATCAAACTGGATCGTGTGCACCCCTAATATTCACACGTTGCATGGTTTAACTTCATAAAAAACTCCAGAATTGTGTAACTACTTCAAACCTACAAAAGGTCATCACAATATGGAGGAAAAGTGGCCAGAGATGAGTGAAAGTTTAGGTCGGATTAAGATCGAGTTTATCGGGCAAAACGTATAAATAATTAACCAAAAATTAATTAGTAAGTTCTTTTTGTTAAGTTTTAATTTTTTTTTTTTCTTCATAATTGTTACTCACACACACATGCCTCCATGGAGGTTTAAACCCCTAATCTTCTTTTAGGAAGTAAAAGTCTGATACCGCTAACCTACTGGCCCGTTAATGTGTAAGTTTTAATTAATATTTAATTTATATTCAAACAATCGAACTAATTGTCATCTCTAATTCATACTTCATTTTCCTTCAAAACTGAAAGTGATGGGCCATAATAGAAATTTTACAATAGTTAGGATATTTTGTTAAGTGGTATATCATGTAATTAAAGCTTTCAAGTTTGTTTAGTAAATGAAAAAGTGAAGATTTTGAGATAAGCAAGAAGCTTTGAGCGAAGAGGTATCACTAGTCAAAATACTTCAGTAGGAAGGTGGGAATTGTAGGAAGGTGTTTTGTTATCAGCCGCCGAATAAGTCTCATTTGATTACTTTGTGAAAACAAATATCAACGGTCTACATCTAATTCTCTAATTAAAATTTGGACTTTTTGCAAATGTACCACTCCATTGATAGATACATATATGTTTGTATATATACATATATATCATTTCGTAGTAGATTATATATAATGTGATTACGTGAGGCGGCTGGAGGATCAAAACGTATCATTTATAAATGCTGCATTATTGTTTGTCTTCTCATCTTTGTGAATTTCATATTTGGATAGCCCGATATGGTATTACTGTTGCTTGTCATGATGCAGAAATGTTCTATATTATATGAATTGTTTATTATATTCTATCAAGTGGAGACAGAGAAACTGATGTGACCGAATAAATTGACAAAAATTAATAAATCAAGATTTAACATATGTAGTTCAACATTTCATTCAGCAGACGACACATATAGCCCTCTATATAGCAGCAAAAACTATTCGCACACACAATTAAGGTCAAGTTTTCTATTGATTCTAGATCCAAAAGAAAGAAAAAAATGTTGTTCTTGTTCCACTCTTTATTTTACTCTCTTCTTCCCTTGTTCTTCTCCTTAGTCTTCCTTCTGAAATGGTGGCCCAACCAAAAGCCACAAAGAAATCTGCCACCTTCTCCATCAAAGATCCCAATTATTGGAAATCTCCACCAACTTGGATTAAGCCCTCATCGCTCCCTCCAATCATTAGCTCAACAATATGGCCACCTGATGCTGCTTCACCTCGGCAGCAAGCCTACTCTCATCGTCTCCTCTGCTGATGCAGCTCGCGAGATCATGAAAACCCATGATCTCAACTTCTCGAACAGACCTAAATCAAGAATTCCCAGTAGACTTTTGTATGACAAGGACATGGTATTCTCTCCGTACGGAGAGTATTGGAGGCAACTAAGAAGTATTTGTGCGCTTCACCTTCTTAGTAACAAAAGGGTTGAGTCTTTCCGTAGAGTGAGAGAAGAAGAAACAACCCTTATGTTGGAGAAGATTAAACAGTCGTCGTCCTCTTCTTCTTCGCCAGTAAATTTGACTGAAATATTAATCTTACTGACAAATGATATTTTTTGTCGCGTGGCCTTGGGAAAGAAATACAGTGACCGCGGGAAAGGTGATATAAAGTTAAAGGAGCTGTTTAGTGATTTTATGGAGGTTTTGGGTGCTTTCAATGTGGGGGAGCATATCCCATGGCTTTCATGGTTGAATCATATCAATGGTTTGAATGGTAAAGTGGAGAAAGTTGCTACAGAGCTCGATAAGTTTTTGGAGGGAGTGGTGGAAGAGCATATGGATAGTCGGAAAAGAGACATCGATGGTTGTGGGAGTGATGAACATGATGAAGGGCAAAAGGATTTTGTAGATGTGCTACTTGAAATTCAAAGGGACAGCAGTACTACTGCTTTTCCTCTTCACAGAGACAGCATTAAAGCTCTCATCTTAGTGAGTCTGACTTTATCTCTCTCACTAAAATTCATAGACACTTGCCAAATTGATCAAGGCATGAGTTAGTTATGATACCCACTGATTGTCTCTTTGATTTTTTTTTTTTTTTTGATAGATTATTGATACAAAATTTGAGAGTCGGACACATCCCATGAGTGGGAGATGACATGATGATACCATCATATTTAATGATGCCATGAAGATGTCATTCTCCACTTACATTAAATAGTACAATGCAGTCTACTTATCAATACACCTTTGGATAATTTGCTAACAAACTCAACTTTGAATGCATAACGCTTCCCTTACATAATTTTCCATGCCGATTGAAGGCCACTTCCTCCATTGCACAAAATATTTATCAAGAAGGAATTCTTATAAAGTGATAATTAATATATGCCTTTGAATATGATTTAAAGGTTTAAATCACTTCCACATCTTCCAACAATAGTACTTGAAGGAATAGGGAATTTATCACTGCCGTCTGATTTCATTTTTTATGACCGATATTGACAACTTGTTGATTACAATATTATGTTTCTTGTAGAATATGTATACAGGTGGAACCGATACTACATACACAGCTCTAGAATGGGAAATGACAGAGCTTTTAAGACATCCAAAAGTCATGAAGAAACTGCAGAATGAGGTTCGAGGAATAGCCAAAGGCAAAGACAACATAACCGAGGATGATTTAGAGAAAATGCAGTACTTGAAGGCGGTGATCAGGGAGTCTCTGCGGTTACATACTCCAGTACCATTGCTAGTTCCTCGAGAAGCCATTCAAGATGTCAATGTAATGGGCTACGACATTGCAGCCGGCACACAAGTATTTATCAATGCTTGGGCAATTGCGCGGGATCCATTATTGTGGGAAGATGCTGAAGTGTTCTGGCCAGATAGGTTCTTGAACACTTCTATAGATTACAAAGGGATAGACTTTCAATTTATTCCATTTGGAGCTGGTAGGAGAGGTTGTCCCGGAATCCATTTCGCTGAGCCCATTAATGAGCTTGCATTAGCTAAGCTTGTTCATAAGTTTGATTTTGTATTGCCCAGTGGAGCGAGAGACCAGGATATGGACTTGACTGAAGCCCCTATTGCAACCTTAAGCAGAAAATACCCTTTACTTGTTGTTGCAACTCCATATTCTTGTTAGTGTACTTGCTGCATGACTGATGAAACTGTTGGGATTTATATGCCCTGGCATAGCAAATTCCTGTTTGGATTAAAGTGACATATGTTCCTGACGTTTATGAAATATTTATGTTTTATACAATTGGTGAATTCAATGTATTATATTTCGATTCATTATAGAATTGATAGTGTCCATTTGATTACAAGAGATATATATATATATATGTTTGTGATGGCAATCTATGCATGATATATAAATAGTAATCATAAATGGTTCATAGTCGATAATTATGGATGGACTCATAATTAATTAAGATTTGAACTAGATCCGCGTTAGGTTGAGATATATTGCGAGAGCCGTCGTATGCAATTGCTCCCTATCACCGTCATGGCATTTGACTCTTAAGTATGAGAAAATTATAAACTCTTTTATTAATTAATAATTACTTTGATTTGTTCGGCGGATTCTTCAGGATTCTTAGACCGACACTTTGGGTAGTTATGTAATTAATAGTTAGAGGGTTATATTTTCAATATTTGCATCGTTGCTACTTGTATTTATTTTGTATTGATTATGGTTGATCACAAAGTAAATTCGAAGGCCTTCGTGTATTTTTAGACAAAATGATTTATTATATATTTATTTATGTAAATTATTATTTTTGTCAAACAAATGTTTTATTGTGATCGAGCCTGAAATAATCAAAGGTACCAAAATAAATATATTAATTAAGTAGTCGGATTGATGGCTTTATTTATCGATAACTAATTATGCATAGAGGGGTCAAAGTGCAATATTGACTTAGAGGTTATTTATTATTTAATTGGAATTCAATTAATTTCTTTTAGTGGAGTAGAAATTAATTTATGAATTAATTGAATTGGATCCATGGACCGGGCCAATTATTAATTCATTGTAGCCAATAAAATAATAGGCCCAATGGATTCTCACTCATAGCCCAACTTGATATTGGAATCATATTAGATTTGAGACATGTGAATTAGAGATTGAGAAGGATTAGTTGTTTCCTTTTCTTTACCTTTATGTTGCCTATAAATATACATGGTTTATGTATATTTTAGGTGTGATTTTTAGTAAAAGGAAAAAGGAATATATTTTCTCTCTCTAGAAAATTAGGGTTTATGTTCTCATCTAATGGAGGCTCCCACAAGCCTAGTTTTCCAAGGTCATTCATAGAGGCATATGAGTGATTCCTAAAGGCAAAACAATTACCAAGAAGATGGAGATCCAAGAAGAATGCATCTTGCTAAGGAATCTACAATAAGTGAGAACATTCACTTTAGAGGAGAGATTTAAGGTTTACTCAAACCTTGATGTAAGTATTCAATCTTTTAATTGAATGATACATCATGTTTTATTTTTGCATAAAATTTGTCTCTATGTAATGAATCAAGATCTATGAATTTAAATCTCTCGAAAAGTTTTTAAAACTAGCACGTTTTCTAACAGTGGTATCAGAGCATGGTTTGATTCATTACTAGAGATCATGATTTTATGAAAATTCATCATTCATGGATCCAATTTTGATATGCATATATTTATTTATTGATGTATGTTGATATATGAATTAATATATTGATATATATTGATACATGATGATGTATGTATAATTGTGAATGGATGATGATATGTGTTTTGGGCCATGGATGAAGCTTATAGGAATATTGAATGTAATTTTATCTTTGGATGAATGTAATTAAGGCTTTGATTTAGCCGTTTGAAAGTTCAATGATGTAATTTAATTTTTTCCATTGTATTTCAAATTGTAAATATTTTTAAAGCCATGTAATCTTCATCAAAGGATGCTATGAAGCTTCAAGAATGTCCAAGAGGGTTAAATTAGGCTTCAGGAATTTTCTGGGATTTTTTAGAAATTTTCCAGAATTTTTCTGGAATTTTTTAAGGCCTAATTTAATTTCTGGAATTTTTCGGCGATTTTCAGGCGACCGGAAAGTTGTCGGCGGCAAGGTTTTGGCCGGAGATCAAGAGGGATTGATGGGAAATATTCCCATGTGACGCGGCTAATGATAGACCCTCGCGCATTACTTAGAGCATATAAATGTTAAAAGCTGAATTCATTGGCCATTTAAATTGTTTCTGTCTGTTATTTATTTATTTAACTGATGCATAGAATAATTAATTATTTATTATTATTATTCATGCATTGGATCCATGATATTTAATTAAATGACTTGATTTATATTAATTAAATTATGAAAATTAATTGGATTTGATTACTAATTAATTTGAGAGTACTTATTGGGAAACGAAAAATTATTTTTGTAAATTATTTTTAAAGTGTGCTTCAAATTAAATATTAGTGAATCATTTAAAGTTCAAATATTTTCTAAATTTAATTGGATTAAAATCAAGACGTTTAGCATGCATCATATCATGTATTTGAATAAAATGAAAACCCTAATTATGAATGATTAAAAAAATTGAGTGGGAGCGGGGATTTTTATACATTGCCCTATGGCCTTCGTTATTAATACCATTGTAATTAGATCTTCAAAAATAAGGCCCCACGCATGATTTGAAGAGTCTTAATATTACAAGAATGGTTGTCTCATAAAAATAAAAATATTAAATGTTCATTGTAATTAGATCTTTAAAAATAAGGCCCTACGCATGATTTAAAGAGTTTAGATTATAATGACAACATATTTAATGTTTTATTTTTTGTTAGAGCTTTAATAACGTTATACACTCAATCTAAAATCAATAGTGTTAGCTCCCCAACGGAGTGGTCTACACTAGGTGATTTTAGAAAGGCTAAACATAATCGGGAATCATTTCATATAGATAGATAAGACATTGTCTTAAGAAATATGGAGATGAAGGGATTTGCCCGCCAATAACAATAATGAACTTCGCCAACCGAATAAGTTATTGGTGTATTGGTTATCCGATTTTTCATGCAGTGGTTAAGGGACCCACATATTATTTTAATGGAAGTGCTCACCTAATAGCAAATGAATCTCTACAATAGTAATAATGAACTCCTCCAACAGGATAAGTTATTGACATATTGATTGGTTGATTTATTATGCTACAGAGTTGAGGGACCCACATTAATTAAAAGGGATTGTTCATCAATAATGATAATGATCTCTTGTTCGATTGAGATTTATTATATTATGTGGTAAACAAACTCATTTTAATTTTAAATATGCATGACAGTATTAATAATTCACCTTGCATATTGTATGAATGCATTTATATTCAGACTAATTATGTCTAATCCATTTATCTGCTTGCTAATTTCAATGTATGTGGACTTCATTTATAATGACTAGAAGAGGAATTTAGATATTTTATTCACAACGTGGTGGTACAAATGTATTTACTACTCCTAAAATCTAATCCTTTTACTTTAAGATACCCAAGAGAACATTAATGCTTTGAGTAAGTGAAATAAGACAAATGAGATGAATTGGTGCAATATTCTAGAGTTTACCTCGAATACGCTCCAAAGCTAACATTTACATTATTTTATTTTCTTCAAGCATCATGTTAAATGTCAATAAGATGTTTTGGTGAGATTAGATAGAGAGTATGCTAAAGTACTATATCAGACTTGAATAGCATCAAGATAGCCTAAGGAATTCCAGTATGAAATCGAATTTTGGAAAATGATTGTTTATTATTTAAAATTAGTTGGAGATCAATAAGGCTGACTTGGGTGGTAAGTTTCAAGTTGACATGATTATTGCCTTGTTACCAAACTTGTTCGACTCTGTTAGAGTGAACTAAATAAGGAATCAGTTTGAATTCACACTCGCTGATATTCTTATAGAATTGGTAACAGATGAAGGGATAATCAAGAGTTTGGGCGTTCTTATCAATCTAACCTAGTCTATACCATCTTCTTCTAGGCCCAAGTGGACAGGCAAAGCAAAGAAGAAGGATGATAATAGGACTAGGCTAGCACAAAACATAGGTATCTAAAAGGTTAAAGGGAATAAGGCAGTGTATGTTGAGGGCGAATGAAACTGTTTCTTTTGCCGTTAACTAAAACACTATAAGACGAACTGTCTAAGCAATGACGTGGCATAGGAAAATATATATTTAATCATTGAGCTATGTTATGTGGTTGCATCTATTAATTCCTGATGGATAGATTCTGGAGCCACTAAACATGTTTGCAATTCATCGTAAGGATTTCAGGAATCCAGAAGCCTTGATGATATGGATATATATTTATCTTTTGACCTGATGCCAAGGTTGTAGTTAGGTCAGTGGGAGTATTACATCTGAAATTAGAGAGTATGAGGATATTAGTATTAGAGAACTATCTTTATGCACAGAAGTTAGACGCAATCTAATTTTTGTTTCACTTGTGGTTTATAAAAACTGTGTTGTTATTTTGTAAAACTGGTTTTATAAAATTGAATAGATATGCTATTGCTTCTGGTGCATTGAAAGATGGTTAATATACTATAATCACAAACTCTTATGATTTGCAGGATGTAAAAACTAATGTTGCATCTTCTAGATTGAATGTTAAGAGAAAAATTGTTATTCCTGACTCATTGTATTTTTAATGTCTATTTTTGGGTTGTTATCAATCAAAATAAGATTCAAAGATTGGTCAATGAAGGTTAATTACCTAGTGAGGCAGGGGAGCCTAAACCAAACTTGTGAACCCTGTTTTGAAGGATAGATAACTCTTAGGGCTTAATCAGCCAGATGAAATAGATATAAAGGACAATTGGAGTCGGTACACACTGACACGTGTGGTCTTATGAACATCCAAGCAAGATTACTCACGTTTTGGATAAGTTTATCTGATGCAACACAAGTCTTAAACTCTTGGTATATTCTGAGAAGGTTAAGATTGATGTGGAGCACATATTAGGTAAACTTATCAAGACACTTCGATCTGATCGAGGATATGAGTATTTCTTGGGATAGTACAAAGACTATATGGTCAATGAGGGTATTATGTACCAGTTTTCCGCAATTGACGCTAAATGCATTTAGGTGTCAAATAGGAATAACAGAATTCCACTTAACATGGTTAGATCTATGATCAGTTATGCCACATTATCTCTTTCATTTAAGAGTTTAGCGTTAATGACATCGATGCGCATTATGAACTGCATTCCATCTTAGTCTGTCTCAAGGATA